GCGCCGCCTCCAACTGCGCTCGCCAGTGCTCGTCCAGGCCCTGGCGGCCGTGCGCGCGCACGTTGCCGATCCACATCGCGAGCAGACGCTCCCGCGCATCGTCGTCATGACCGCCGCTCCTGGGCGCGCGCCCGTGTGTCTCCACGAAAAGCTTCACCTCGAGCACACGCTGCTGCGCCGTCCGCCGCTGCCACATGCCCCTGTTCACCAGCTCATCGAACCTCTCCTGATTGTCATCGTCCAGCTCGTTCTGTCCTTTGACGACATTGTGGATCCAGTCCGCGAGCTTCTTCTCCTCCTCGTCCTCTGCCCCCTGCTTCGGCAGCTCGTCGAGCACCTCCACGTGCTCCTCGATGCGGTCCAGCATCGCGCGGGCGCGCGCGCGCCTCTCCTCCCGCCGGTCCACGAGCCCGTCGAACCGCGCGCGCCGCTCGGGCGTCAACGGGAAATGCCCCGTGCTCACGTTGTGCACCCATGTCCCAAGGGCGGACTCCTTCTGCGCTGGAACGCGGTCGTGCTCAGCCACGTGCCTCGCCAGCTCGCCCAGCATCTCCTCCGAGTGGTCCCGCGATCGCGCCTCCGCGCCAGCATGCTGCACACCGCTCATGTCGATGCCCAGCTGCGCCGCGAGCGCAGCCCCGTACACCTCAATGTCCAATCGCTTGCGGTCCGGGCCATCCCAGCGCCGCGAAGACGGCACCCCAGTCTCGCGGTCGCCCCGCAATCGCGCAGCCAATTTTTCCAATTCAGCGAAACTCATCCGGGCCAACGCCGCCGCGTCCACCCCATCGCGCGCGCCCCCGCGAGCGCCCTGCGCCCCTGCGGCACCCTGCCCCACACGGCGCTTCGGCGCCCCGCCCCGCAGCGCGCAACGCCCCGCACCCGCGCGCGGCGACCGCGACGCCGAGCCCGAACGCCCGTGCGCGACGACGCGACACCACGGCGCGCTCTCGGCTTCCCCCCACTCCACGTCACCAGAACCCACCGACTCCTCCACCGCGCACACATGACCGCCGTCAAGCCACAGCAGAGCACCAGCGCAGAAACCCGTCGCGTGCCCCAGCGACCACGCCACGCGCCCTCCCTCCTGCGCTCCGAACGCCTCCACAGATTCCGCAGAGAACACACGCACGCGCAAGAAGCGGGAGCGCAAGTGCTGGACCACGACCTCAAGATTGCAGCGCTCCACCACCGACCCACAAGCGCCGGAACCCTCGTGGTTCTGGCACGCGCGGCCGAAATGCCGCGCAGCGTCGCCCCCGACAAGCTCAGCCACTGCGCTCTGCAGACACTTCCCACGCCACTCGACTGGACAACTCCCGCGCGCGCGGCGGTTCCCCCGCCCGCGTCCGCCGCGCGGCCGCGGGCGAAGCGGGCGCGCGGCACCGAATGCACCCACAGACGTGAGCACGGCGCCGTCCTGCGTCGCCCCGCTGAGCCCCGCCGGACACGCTCCGAGCGCGATCATGGCGCAGGCAGCGCGCACGGCCATGTCCCCGACGAAGTCCTTGGACTCCCGCGCAGCCCGGCACTTCGCTCCGCCAATCCCGACGCCCGGCGAGAACCGGCGCGCACAGACGCGGCGGCCGCCGCACGTCCGCGCCGAGAGACCGTAGAGCGCGCAGCAGAACCACCTGGCGGTGACGACCGCGGCTGCACGATCGGCCAGCTCGGGCGCGTCCGGGAGCTCCCGCGCGAACACATCCCGCTGCCGCCACCAGCGCGCCGCCGCGATCTTCCTCGTCATCACCACTCTGCTGTCTTCTTGTGGTGGGCACACGCCGAGAGCGACCAGAACGCAGGCTGCGCGCAGGGCCGCGTCGCCCACGGTCCACGACAACGCGTCGGGCGCAGCCTCGGCAGCGGCGCGGGGAGCGCGCGCCGGCGGCTGTTCCGGGTCGACGGCACGTGCCGCGCGCGCGGTCAGGAACTCCGCCACGCGCCCGTTCCTGCAAACCACCCCCCGCGCGCTGCGCCCAAACGAAAGCCGCTCTGGCGACGCGTCGCGCAACAGGGGGCGCGGCACGACGGGGAGCAGCACACGGTGTGCAAGGTGCCCGTTCCGCTCGGCCGCCGCCTCCGTCCGCCGCGCCCACTCCGCCTCCCGCCGCGCACACCGAGCCCGCCGGCACGACGCGCGGCACGCTTTCCGGAGCGATTTCTGCTCGCGCTCCGCCGCCTCCAGCGCGGAATCATCGACGACCTCCTCATGGATCACGTCGTGCTCTGCGAGCAAACACTCCTGCACCCGGACATCCCACGCGCGCGACTCCCGGGCCGGCGCCGAGCGCTCCGCGCACCGCCCCCGAGATCCGGGACCGCCCCCCGCCCGGGTCCCGTCCCCGTCCCCGTCTTCGTCCCGGTCCCGGCCCCGGTCCCGGCCCCGGCCCCGGTCCCCGTCCCGGTCCCGGTCCCGGTCGTCGGTCGTCGTCGTCGTCGTCGTCGGCGCCGCCCCCCTCCTCGTCCTCGTCCTCCTCCTCCTCCTCCTCCTCCTCCTCCTCCTCTTCCTCTTCCTCCTCCTCCCCCTCCTCCTCCTCTTCCTCCTCCTCCTCCTCATCCTCCTCCTCCTCCTCCTCTTTCTTTCCTCCTCCCCCTCGTCCTCCTCCTCCTTCTCCTCCTCCATGTCCGCCAAAGCCATGGCTATAGCGGAAACCCGGACAGGGACGCGGCAGACGTCGTCGTCGCCGTCGTCGTCGCTAGCAGCGAACGCGGAGATTTCCCCGGCGAGAACACGCTCATAAAAATCATTGCCCCCCAACCGTTTTTCGACGCCTCCGGAACCCCATTTTGAACCGCCGTTTCTGACGCCTCCGGAAGACCGTTTCAGACGCCTCTGGGGGACCGTTTCGGACGCCTCCGAAGCACCCTTCCGGGGAACTATTTCGGACGCCTCCGAGCCTCTGGAGGACCGTTTCGGACGCCTATGGGGGATCATTTCGGAGGCCTCTGGGGCAACCATTTTGGACGCCTCCGAGACATCATTTCGGACGCCTCTGGGGGACCGTTTCGGACCGCCTCCGAGCCGGTTTTCGACGCCGCTCGTGATCCTCCTGCTTCTTTTCTGCTCGTGATTATGTTCCGCAGTGCCAGCTGGGGCTGGTCCAGCAGAAAAACTACGACGGGGGGGCCTGGAGACACACGAACCATCGAAACGCGATTCCGACACGCCCCTCCAAATCCATTTAAAAAGTGATGGGGCATACCGAAAGCAAGGGGGCGACCGTCGGGATCGACATCGGAATTCCGTAGAAATCATACAGCGCCCATGTCGAGCGCACACGCCGTGCCAAAAAAACATACACACCTAAATCGAATGGTCCGCACGCGTACCCAGAGCCAAAAATCCTCTCCTCCTCCTCTCCTCGCCCACCTCCATTCCCTCCCTCCCCGTCCGCCTCCGCCCCCCAGCCCCGCTGAGAGAGTCGAGCGGGGTTCCAGGCGGGCCCGAGGGTGATCCTGGAGCGGCCCCGACAGGGCCTAGATAGCTCCGAGCGGCCCTCACGAGGGCCCCCCGAACACTTCAGCGTCAAATGCTGCCACCAGGGATGTGTCGGACATAGTGGGCGAATGCCTCTATGAGCCCGCGCGGAGCCCCTCGAATTGTTCAAATCTTCACGCGGCAGAGGCGGGGCAATCCTTGCGCCTTCTCAGGGCCCCGCGCGGGCTCATAGAGGCATTCGCCCACTATTTCCGACGCGCCCCTGGTTGCGGCATGTGACGTTTCAGCGGTCGCCACACCCCGCTCGCGCTCACTCCTCATCACCTCCCCCTCCGTCCGCCCCCCGTCCACCTCCCAACTTCCCGCCCTTGGGCGCGGGTCCTGAGTCGCAGACGCCCGCGGTCTCGAGGTTATCGGCCCCCACCCCCGCCGCCCCGAGGCTCGGCGACGGGGGGAGGCGGGGGGGGAAGGAGGCGGAGGACGTAGCTATGGAGAGAAGGGAGACGAGCAATTAGGACAGGGAGGGGACGGAGAAGGAGAGGGGGAAGGCGGAGGAGGAGGAGCAGGATATGTGGCCTGGGGGCGGAGACGTTAAGGGAGGAGGGGGCTGCATTCACTTGCAATGCGATCCATGATACACGACGCAATTCATGATTCGAGATGGCGGCACGCACCTCCCACCGTGCTGCAGCTGCTGGCAGGCGCCACGGGCACCTTTCTCAGGCGAAACGCCTACCAAGGCCCATGAGGGCCGCTGACGGCCGCCCCGACGCTCTTATCGAGGACGGCTGGCGCTGCGGGCATGGCGCGTCAGCGCCTGCCCGAAACTGCGAGCCGCATCCCAGAGGCGAACGGAGACACCGCACTCTCGACCGACTGCGCCATCCTGGCCTCCGCAAAGGCAGCGATCTTCCCTCCCTCGGTGCTGACACACACATCTCTAACTCCACATGTCCCTTGCTCTGGTCCCCTCCCAACCCGCTCTGGCCGAGTGCCCTACGCAGCGTCTCGCAGCCTCGAGGGTCCAACCATCACTTGAAAAACAATGCATCGTACGTTTTGTTGGCCAGCACCTTCGGCGATATCTCCTCGATCATGAGCTGGTGCTTGGATAATTCCTGCTGGGCGGCCAGCGCCGATTTGCGCAAGGCAACTTTGTCAACCTGCTCGGAAAACGATTTCAACATCAGCGCCGCCGCCCAGACCAGAATGCACTTGCACATGGTGAGTGAGCCGTCCTCAAGGACGGTCTCTCGAAGGAGGCCAGCTGGTACGTCTTGGCCCACGCGCGGATGCCGATCTCTTCCTGCGGAAAGCCCGCGCGAGGGATGACGCAGTGGGAGGGCAGAGCACGGCGGCAGGGAGGGCTTGGAGGCGAGAGGAGTAGGCAGGAGGCGGAAACCGGGGTGATAGTGGGAGCGAGCGGGAGGACGAGGGGGAGGAGTGGGGGGGGGCACCAGTATTCCCCACTCCCCCATCGACCCCCCCCAACCCCCACCACTCCTGCCCCAAGGGAGCAGGCGGTTGGACGCCCGCCGCAGCCCCCCTTGGCGGCGGCGACCTTCTTGCGGAGGACCACGGCAACGCCCTCCGCCAGCAAGGTGGACTTGCCGACGGCGCGCGCCTTGCCCCGCTTGTCGGCAGCGGCGCCGACCAGCCCGTGGGTCCACTCGGCGCCGTTCTTGAGGCCGCCCTGCTCTTGCTTCAACTCCGCCACCGTCGTGTTGACGAATGTGTGGATCTTCTCGCGAAGCCCGTGCTCGGCCACCTCGTCGATCAGGGGGCGCACCGTGCCGTAGAATGCCATCGCCCCCTGCTTGATGAAAGCCGTGCCCCCGTGGCCGGGGAACTTCTCATCCGAGAGCTTCTCGAACAGCACGGTGGCGGACCCCTTTCATCTTAGATAAGTTCGCGTCCTGATACGCGGAGCCGAGGTCCAAGCTGTCATCCTTGAAGTGTTTCGCCTTGAAGTCGGCCACCTGGGCCGCCAGCTCGCTCTGCTTCCTGAGGGCGTCGAGCACGCCGTCGTGGAGGCTGGACTTCGGCAGAAGGCCCAGGGCAGCTGCAAGCGCGCCCAACGCCGACGAACGCAACACCTCGCCGTTCGTAGCCGCGTCCACCGCGATCTTGATGCGTCCGTCGGCCACCTTCTTCAAATCATTCATCGCGTCCTGGTCGGCGCAGGCCACGCCCCTGACCTTCTCCATCGCGGACTTCGCACCATCCAGGACCTCCTGCGTCAAGCTCTCGGCAACGGCGGACTCTTGCAATGCAGCCTTGAACTTTACCATCTCCCCTTCCGACTGGAGCTTGACCAGCGGCTCGGCAGCGTCGCCCTCGGCCTCGAGGAAGAACGGCACCTCGTGCCACGCGACCCTTTGGTAAGAGACCATCTCGCCGAAGCACTTGGCCTCCTCCAGCGATGCTCGCCCCTCAGCGACGCGCTTCCCGAAGGCCTGGACGAGCGCCTGCGCCTTGTGCAGCGCCTGTGTCTTCACGCTCTCCCCGAAGGAGCTGCCGAGCGCAGCCATCGAGCCAAGCACACGCTTGGCTACGAGCGCGTTGTCATTGAAAACGGCGCACCACTCCTCCGTCGGGCTGGAATGTTCTGGCAAGTCGGTCGCCAACGCATTGTGCACCTGGTCGACTTGAGGGCCCATGGAGTTCAGACCTCGCGACGTTTTCGACAAGTCGGTGAGCATGTCCATGTAGTACGGCACCGAGAGGACCGTTCGGGCGACCGGCTGCGCGATCGGGTCCTTGGGCTTCGCGTCGGACAGCAGCGCGATGCGGTGCTTGACCGTCAGGTTGAACTCCTCTAGGGACAACGCGACGCCGTCACCAATGAGCACGTTCAGCGCGCCGAAGACCTCTGTGAGCGAGCAGAATAGCCGCGCGCGCGCCTCGGGCATGTCGGAAGCTACGATCTCAGCAATCTTGGCACGAACTTGGGCAATGGCAGCGGTGACGATCGAGTGCGAGCCTTTGCCAGCCTCAATGGCGGGGCAGAGCCACGAGTCCACGAAGCAGGTGTTGAAGGCGGTGATCTTGATCTCTGGGTCCATCTCCAGCGCGCTCAATACTGGCGAACAGCTGTCGAATGGAGCGGCGTGGCCAGGGTCGTGCGGCAAGGTGCATTCGAAGAACGCCTTGAACGTATCGGCGTCCCGCACGGTGCTCATCATCCGCCTCGCTGCCCTCATGCACAGTTTGAGGTTCACGGCGTCGGGCAGCGCCCCGTCGATCTGGATCAAATACCGAACAGCTTTCGCCAACTCGTCATCCCCGTAGTTGTCCTGGTGGGCCACAGATGCAATGTGGGCCATCTCGAACTTTTTGACCTGAGCCTTCAGCTCCTGGACGCCAGCGGACCACTTCGGGCTAGTGCCGTTCTCGCGCAACCACCTGGAGGCATGGTGGAGGAAGTTGCCCAAGTTCCCCTTCACCATCTCCGTCTCGCAATCCAAATTCTTGATGTGCTTGTATGGGCCAGACCTCCCACTCGAGTCCCCGCCCGCCGTGCTGACAACGCCAAGCGCAGTAGAAGCCGCCAGAGACGCTGCATCGTCCAAGGTGTCGTCATCGGGGCCGCCAGGCGAGGCCTCATTGTCACCTGACCCTGGGCTCTTCAAAGAGAAGCGCCTCTTTTTTTGCCACGGGGGCAGCTGCCTCAGATCTCCCGCCGAAGAGCGACGACGGCACCTGAATCACAGGGGCGCCAGCGCCGTCGACGACGCTCTCCCCCCCCGCCTCCGCCGCCAACCCATCGCTCTCGGCAGCAGCGGCCCCGCACGCCGCTGGCGACCCGTCCCCTGTCTCTGCCATGCGAGAGCCGTTGACAGGCCTGAACTCGGCGGTGTGGAGCTTGATCGGGGCCAGGTCGAGCTTCCCCCTCGTGGCGCTGATGCACGGCAAGTCCTTCGCAACCAGCTCCGAATCGAATTCTGTTTTCTGGTTGCTGAGCCCCGAGTTCAAGAAATCGAGGACCTGGCCATCGTAGAACACGTCGTCTGGGCGCACGGGGTGCGCCCCAGCGGTGACCTTGTGGAACGTGGCAAAGCTCATGGTGCGACGCGCCCCAGGGAAGAGCTCGAACAGCCATACTTTTTCGGTCTCCCCCGCTGCGCCGCCCCGAACTGGAAGCAGCATCGTGGGGTGGTGGCGCACCAGGCGCTGCAAGGGCTCGTGGCCGTCATGGTAGTACTTGAAGTCAGCCTTGTTGAGGACGGCAACCTTGCGCTTCACCTTGACGACGCTGCCGCAGTCCACCGAGACGCTGTCGCCGCGCGCCGTGAGGCCGACCGTGTCAAGCGCGGTGCGGTTGGCGCGGTTCGCCCAAGAAGTTTCCGCTTGCTGCACCTGCTGCCTGAAGTGGCTGTCCTCGGGCGATTTGCTGTTCTTGCGCTCGATGACCTCGTCGATCGGCATGTGCGAGAAGACGCGGATGTACAGCTCGGCAATGCTGCGCTTGATGGGCACGCCATGGCCCTCGCTGGCCCCGATCACGACTTGCGGGTCGTCCTCGGGAGCGGCAGGGGCGGAGCAAGAGCCCCCCTTCCCCCCTGATCATAACCCCACCCCCGCGGGTCGGCCGACGGTCGAACCCCTTGCCAGCGGGCCCCCTTCGACAGCTACAGGCGGCAACGTCGTGCGCCCCGAACACTTCCAGAACATACGGCAGCACACAAAACACAAACCTCCCAGTAGATACAACACCACAACGCACACCACAACTTCCAGGACATACACAAACAACGCCGTTGTCTGTCCATCGGGCGTCGCCCGCCCATCCCCCTGGAGCTCCTCTGAAGGCCTTGCCGAAACACGCCAGCCGAGAACACTGCTTGGGGGTGCCCTCTGAACCCCGAGCCCCGCGGCCTCGCGCGGGGCAGGGGGGCGCCCGTCTGCTCTGGGGGGCAGGGGGCGGTCTGACGATACGCGGGATGACGACGGGCGAGGGGGAGTTGAGGAGGAAAGAGAGGAGGGGGCGTTGAGGAGGAGGGCGGGGAGAGTAGAGGAGGAGGGGGAGGGGGGATGGGCATTGTAAACTAGCTTACCCGCCCAAGCGCGTGGACGAGTCTGTAGAGGCAACATTCAGGAAACCCAGCGGTGCGTGATTTGGGCTCCAGTTGGAAAGGACCAGACGATGTTTCAACGTACGGTTGGTTGAGCGGGATGTTTGCTTCGCTTCGGCATTGGATGTATCTGTATCCTCCTCCGCCCCTCCGTGCCCCCCCCCCCCGTAACCCCCCCGCCCAATCCTCGCCCCCCGCGTCGGGCAGGGGGCGGACGTGGGCAGCGGTGGTGCGAGAACGCTGCCGTTTTTTCCAAAGCTTAGGCCCCGTTGCGAGAGCAGTCGGGGGCCAAGGTATTGCTATAAGCATACCCTGAAAAGAAAGCTGCGCGCGAGCTGTACGAACGCCCCACAGCGGACCGCACTTGCGGACAACGTGCGCAGCGGGCCTGGCGCCGACGGCAGCCCGTCCCGCTCGGACAGGGAACGGCGATTGGGAGCGGGAGGGATGTTGGCGCTGGTAGTGGGCGGGTAACATGGGAATGAGGAGCGGACGAAGGGAGGTCGATGTAGCTTGAGGGGGCGAGCAGGCGCGCCAACGAAGGCTCATCCTCATGTGAGCTGTCACGCGGAGTACCCGCGATGATATCAGTCAGAGTCGGAGCCAGCGCTGTCAGAGCACATTACATCAGAGTCAGAGGGCTCGTGCTCCAACAGCGACGCGTCAAGCTGCATCATGCGGCCTGTGCGCGGCCAGTACGAGGTGTCCAACTTCCACTGCTCCAGGGCCTCGTGCTCCACGGTGTTGTCGGCCCTGAGCGGGAGCACGACGTCTGGCGCGCCCTCCGAAGTCTCGGTGTCGGCGCGAGCGGCGTCGGGCAGCTCGATGGCGCAGGTGCTGATGTTGCTCGGTGCGATGTCGTGCAACGGGATGGCGCGGTTGAACGTCGGCTCCACAAGGGTGTAGTGGCCTTCGGAGAGCGAGAACACCTCGGTCTTGCCGAGCGGGAGGCAGGGGCCCACGGGGTAGTAGACGGTCTCGCGGTCGAACTCGGAGTCGGCGGGTTCCGACATGGCACCGCCTCCAGCTGCGTCGGCGATCGAAGTGGCGGCCCCCTCCGTCTCCCCCGACGCTGTGTTGTTCAGGAGCTTCTTCTCGACCTCGTTCAAACGATCCCTCAGGTAGCTGTTCTCGTGACTTGTCTCGTCCAGGCGCTTCTCGACCACCTCCAAGCGGTTGCGGGCCTGTCACTCAGTGGTGCGTGGGGGGAAAACTTGGGAAGGCGAGGCAGGCTGGGTTGGGTTGAGGGGAGGGGGGCGAGGGCGGGGGAGAGAATGTGACATGAGGCGAACGAGCAGGGAAGACAGGCGGCGAGGAGCGGGAGAAGCGGAGGGCTGAAGAGCAGCGGTGGGCAGACGGGCGCAAGGGTGTGGAGGGGGGGGAGGTGGCGGGGTGGAGGGCGGAGGGGAGGGCTTACACGGTTGAGGGCAAGCGTGGGCGGAGTACGGGCGGCGTGGGCATTGGAAGGAAGGAAGGAAGGTGGCCTCGACCAACAGCTGCCATATCCTCTGCTTCTTCGGCACATACCCGTCGTCCGACGGCGTCTCTGGGCGGGGGCGACGGATGCCCTCGTGGCACTCTGGCTCTAGGCTCATTGGAGTGGCGGTAGCGTCGGCTGCGTTGTCGGTGGCTCGGTTGCGCCACGGTGGCGACATCGGTGATGGCCGTCGAGAGGAGGCGTGGGCCTGGTCGGCGGACTGACCGCTAGGTCGAGCCAAAACGGCTGCGGGCGGGGAGGGGGGGGGGGGTGGGCGGGCGGCCAGCGGCCCCCAGGGGGGCGGCGAGCGGGCAGGGAAAGCCCTTCGCCGTCTCTGACCAATGTGGCGCAACGACCCTCTTCGGGGCAGAGCCCTCGCGGTGCAAACGGCACGGGCGAGTTGGAACCGCATTGCCTCCAAGATGCCTTTAAGGCGGCAAATATGGCCTCCAAGATGCCCCAGCAAAGGCCAGTCTGGCCACAAGGGAGACCAAGATAGCTGCTAGACGTCTCCAAGACGGCCCGAGGTGCACCCAAGACCGCCCAATATGGTCTCATTAGCATCTAAAGACGGCATAATCGGCTCCCGCGAGGCGTCCAAGACGGCCCAAGAGGTCTCCAAGTAGCCTCCGACATGAAACTTATGATGATGAGGGTGAGGACGACGTTGGGGATGAGTATGGTGATGATGGTGACGATGGTGATGATGCGTATGTTGATGCTGCTTCTGCGGGCAATAAGTGTGATGCTGCTGGCGATGGCGCTACACCATATGACAGCGAGAGCAGTGTTGGGCATGACGATTGGGGGAGGCGAGGGAGGAGGAGCAAGCAGGAACGCTGGGCGCTGCGCTTATCAAAACGATGACCCAACACCACCTGATTGTCAGGAAACATGGGGATTGCATAGTTTGGGAAGGCAGCAATGTGTGGCAGAGAGAGGTAATCAAAATAAGCAGAGGGTGGCGGGTCGGTCCTCGGTGAACTTCGTCTTGGTCCAGGCGCACTGGCCAGCGACGGCAGCCGCCAGCGGCTGCTGGCGGTTCCCCCCTCTCTTGGGGCTGTCGGCCTTGGGAGGCTTCCTGGGGCTGCCGCCGCCGCCCTTCCGACCAGCCCGACCGCCGCCGCGAGCGCCAGCAGCGCGCCCAGCGCCAGCCATCGTCGGCGACGAAAGATGGAGCTGCACTCGGAGCGGCCTCAGATCTCTGAGCTCTGAGGAAGAATACGCGAAATCACGATTTCTCTCGAGCCTAGGACGGCAAGCCATGATGGACACACGAGTTGCCCACAGCTCACAGTCGCAGGGGTGGCTCGAGAGGGCCGATTGGGGGGGCGCGGGCGGGCGTGCCAGAAGCGATTCCGCGAAGGCCCAGCGGGGGGGGGGCTCCAGGGGGGCCAGAGAAGACTTTGTGCAAATCCGAGAGGGCCTCGGCGCCCCCCCCCACCCCCCACGCCCCCGATGAGACAGAGAAGGCCCGATGAAGGCCTCGGGGGAGGGCACAGAAAGCATCAGAGCGGCCCAAGCAGGCCCGAGGCAACGTAGGGAATGCACCAGGAAAGTCTTCGGGAAAGCCTAAAAAAAGCCTCGATGAAACCCGAGAAGTCCCAAGGATCTGCCCCAAGAAAGCGTCACTCGCCCCCATCGTCTAGCTCCCTCGGGCCTCCTCCACCCCCAACCTCATCCGAACCATCGCGCCCGCCACCCCCTCCTGCGCCCCTCCGTCCTCGCTCAGCCACTCCCTTCACCTCCCCCACGGGGGCTCCTGGGCCCCTGTGCTTGGTAGGCACCAGTCGGCGACGCGGCGCGTGTCTCCGGACCACCCAGGCCCGCCCAGGCGACACCCCGTGTGTCTCCCGAACCCACAGACGACCCTGGGGCGACACGGGATGTGTCGCTGGGGAGGATTTTTGGACACGGAAAAGAAAATGTATCGAGGATCCGGACCCCCCGTGTGTCGCACCAGGGGACGACCCCCCCCCGCGCGACACGCTGCGTGTCTCCTGTGGGGACCAGAAACGCCCCCCTCAGACGGGCCATGTCGGGGTCCTCCACCCGACCGCCCATTCTGATTGCAGCCGCTCCTAAGACCCCAAACTCAGCACTCCAAGCATTGAATACTTCAAACAACAACGTTTAAGCTGATGCTTGCGGGCAGAGGTGGCAAATCGGCCCCGCCTCACATAAACCAGACACGACCTGTTCGTGGCGATCCAAAGAAGCGGTGACTCGATGATGATTCACTCTCCTCCAGTCTACGCAAGGTGGCTGGCGCACACGGGCTCCTCGGGCTCGCCAGCGCGACGAGGCCGCTCCATGCTGAGCAAACGCTCGCCGTTGTGAAACTCTCGCAAGGCCTCCCTGGCCTCGCACCGCGTCTGGCGGCTGATGCTCGCCACGAAAAATGCGCTCTGGTGCTCAGCTTTGGTGGCGCACCCGTCGGCTGCGAGCCACGCGGCCATGAGGCCGACGGGCCGACCTTTCAAGGAACGCTCTCTGTCCGTCAGCCCCTCGGGGGAGCTCGCCCAGGCTGAGGGGGCCACGCGGCGGGCGGGGCGGCTCGACCACCAGGGTTCACCATGGGGGCCCTTCTGAATCCTTTCGGCGTTATCTTGGGCCACGGAATGAGAGTTCTCTGTGCCCTACTGGGCCGAAACAAGGGGCCCGAAGTACATGCGCCAGGCGCGCCTCGAAACGGGCCCCAAAGGACGCGCGTTTCGAGCGAATGGGCCAGCCCACGAGCCAATACTTAGGCATGTTTGGCCCCATAACAGGCCACTGATTGGGCTCTCGAGAGACCCTCCTAAACCGAAAACGAATGACGATTCTAAGGCCATCGACGCAATTCGAAGCTGGCCCCAGCAGGTCATAAAGTTAGACACCGCACGCAATAAGATCTCACATCGCGGGTGCGCCCAGGCACGACGAAACAAAATTAGCCAGGTGATGGGTGCGACCATCTGCAGTTGTGA